GAGTTTATTTATCGTACATGATTACAGTCACAGGTGAGGGGGGCTGGTCAGGGTTGGGGGTCAGAGGTCAGAGGGGTTTAGAAGTAGTTGACGACTCTGCGGATGGACTGGATGTTGGGGTTCTGGGCCTGCCACTCGTTATGGCTGCAGTAGTCTCCACGCTCAACAATGTACATGCGGCCACGGAAGTTTGGCTCCTCGTACATCACCCAGCTGGAGGCGGAGCAAGGAGGGAAGAGAGGCGGGGTTAAAGTGAGGAACATGCTTTTATTAACCTGTCACACTTTTGTTAAGGAGGATTCTGAATGATGTTTAAATATATTCCGCCTTAAAACATCTTTAGACTTTGTTCTATTATGTTAAGTCATGCTAACACATCCAACCTTAGGTTGTTAGCATGCTAACATTAGCACTAAATAGAAAAATTAAGCTGAGGATGAAAAACAGTTCTACTGGTCTCCAGGTGAGAAGTCTAATAATAAGATAAGCCTGGTGGGGTTCATCCTCAGGGGGACATGAGCGTGAAAAATCCTGAAAGCTAAAGTTTGAACTCAATCAATCAAATCAATCATCAGCCAAAACTTCCAGCAACAAGAACATTACTGTGTCACATTTCATCATCTGGGGATAATAAATAATGAGCCCCACAGTCTAAGCTGCCAGCAGCAATAAAGTCTACAGAGTTCATCCTCTGCAGAGCAGGAATATGTCAACAACCGACCTTTACTTTGAATGTGAATGATAAATATTTCCTGTTAGCATGTTAGGAATATTGTCCTAATACTAATCTCAGGTTAAAGGTCACCAAAGTCTATCCCCTGGGGAGCAGGAACATCAGCGTTAAGGTTTCTGGTAAAGGAGAAACTCACGCTCCGTCTCCGTAGACCTTCACAGAGTTGATGCAGTTCTTGGAGAAGCCGCGGCTCTGCAGGAAGGGGCAGTCGTCGCAGATGTCCACGCACTGACCGGAGAAGTTACAGCCCTCGAACAGCTCGATGCGGTAGTGCTCGCCGTGCTGCCGGACAGACGGACACGATTAGGTCAGAATCCAACAACAAAACCTACATCACAGACCGGACGGAGCAGCAGTAGCTTCAGGATGAAGGTGCTTCACCCCAAAGCGAGAAAAGATGGTTTCCCCTCAGTGGAAAAGACTCACAGAGTCAGTCTTTCACTAACACATGAAAAACAAACTCTAACATTTTTAAAAGTGTGAATTAAAAAGAAGATGAAATTGTGTTTCCTGACAGCAGTAAAATCTCAGATCTGTCAGATCACCTCATCTGTGCTCTTTAAACAATCACGACCCCGTCAGAGGTGCTCACCATGCGGATGGGTTTGCAGGATCCCATGTGGTCGTTGTGGGAGTTCCACCTCTGGAATTCTGGGTACTCGCCGTGCTCCAGGATGTACTGCTGGCCCTTGAAGTCAGGGTGGTCGTAGCAGATCCAGGCTCCGCTCTCCACACGGATCGAGTTCACCCTGAAGAGACAAAGACAGGCTCCAGATGTTACCCTGCAGAGGTGCTCAGTCACACGTTGAAACCATCAGCAGGTTTAACTGGTCAGAACTTTTTCATCCTCCGTCCCAGCACGATCATCTGCTCAGACGCAGTCATGGAGCTCAGGTGATGATCAGCTGAAGGAAACAGGAAGCACTTAAACCAAGAACTCCAGTTTATCCTGACCATGATGATGATGATGTTGGCCTCGTGCTCTCCTCTGATGAAGAGCGACTGAATGTTTGATAAGGTCAGAAAAAAAGTGCTGAAAATGGTTTCTGTGTGGACGGACTTCAGTCTGAGTTTGTGCTGCTAGTGAAAACTGTTGGTCATCAAATTCACATCTTTGAGTTTGCAGAACGTCAGATCTTTGATATGTGTTTCTATTTGTCACTAAAAAGGAAACGTTTAGACTTCCTGTACGGCCAGAAATCACAAAGCTTCTGTTCTTCTGTGTTTTCGTTGATGTCATTAGAAAACTCTTAACAAGTTACTGAAACATAAGCTGACCTCGTATCAGTATTCAGAGGCTCGTCAGAAATATCAGCTCTCGCCTGAATTTCAGAAGCTGAAAGCAGAAACAGTTTCGTCCACACGGTTTGAATATAAATGTGACCACCAGGGGGCAGCGATTCCACACATGTGTTTTCAGATGTGCGCTGCAGGTCTCTCAGTTTCTGACATTTGTTGTACTTGTCATGACTTCATGACCTGCTTACAGTTACACTGACAGGCTGCGCCCCCTCGTGGCTCAGAGCGGTATTACATAAAACCAGCTGTTACGTTTCCTCTGATCAGCTGATCAGTCAGACTCTGGTTTCTGAGCTCAGAGAAACTGAAGGTGCGACTGAAGATCTGCTCTGACTCAGTTCAGGTTCAAACGTCTTCAGTAAAGAAAAAAAGAGAAAGCAAACACCCGAAAACAGGAAGTTACCTGTTCATGAAGCCGCGGTCCTGGAAGTTATCACAGTCACCTCTGACCTCCAGCTTCCTGCCGGTGAAGCACTTCCCCTCATAAAAAGTAATCTGCAGGACAAACGGTCACGTGCTTTCATTCAATGAAACTTTATTTAAAAATGAGTGACAGGACGAAGTTCCTGCTGTAATCTGAAGCCTCCAGTCTCACAGGTCTGAATTTATCATGACTCGGTCATGTGAATCATCTCCATCCTTCACCAGGTTGTTAGTCTTTGATGCCTCTAACATGGAATAACACGAATAAATAACAATGAATGACATTTCTGAATCTAGGCTGGAAAGTAACTGAGTATTTTTACTTGGGTACCCTGAAGGTGCTGCTCTGAGCCTGGGCTTAGAGGACGATCGAGCGTGCAGCGACGTCTGTTTGGTCTTAAACATGACCCCAGCTGCTTTATTAAAGTGACATCATCAACAGCAAACAGTGAAGTTTTAACAAAAACAGAAACTTTCGTTTTAATGTTTCACATGAATGTGAAGTGAAACTCAAAGTGATGATTTATTTTTTCTGTTCTTGTCTTTAAAAGCTAAATGTCCTGCTGCTGTGAGGAGCTTCACACCAAACTCCATTCAAAAATTGACTATTTTAAGCAGCCTGATCTTCAGCTTCAGAGCTCAGACTGAAACAGAGCTCAAAGCGATCCTCGTCGGTCTCACTCACCTTTCCAGAGTACTGTGACATTTTGTCCCGCTGGATGTCGTCCAACCTGGCCCGCAACCACACACACAGTGTAACAGAGAAAAAGTTGGACACCCCAATTTATACGGCAGGGGGGCGAGCGAGGGGCGCGGCGGGCTGAGGGCCGAGGCCCCCGGACAAAAGAGTCGGCTTCAAAGGTTTCTGCTGCCTCGACGCTTTCAGTTCATCCAGACCTGTCTGCTGATTCTGCTGTGTGTGTGTGTGTGTGTGTGTGTGAGTGTGTGTGATTATTTGTGTGTGTGTGTGTGTGTGTGTGTGTGTGTGTGTGATTGTGTGTGATTATTTTTGTGTTTGAGTGTGTGTGAGTGTGTGAATACATGGTGCTTGGCCGCAGCTTTGCAGCTCAATGATCTCGCACACGTCACGTTTCTACACAAACAGGCTGCGGTCAGGAGGAAGTACTTCCATCCTTTACTGCAGTAAAAGTACTAATACTGCGTCACTGACACTGCCTGCACTGATGCAGCTGTTAGATTTCGTTCAGTCTTTCTTTGACTATTTAAACTTTTCCATGAGCTGAGCTTCAGTCCTGCTTTGATGTGACGTCTTCATGAGCACCAACAACAGCAGCAGTGAATCTCAGGCTGAGGTAAAGCTACTGTCAGCAGGTGAACAGGTGACTTTTACCACCACAGAGCAGTTTGGGTTTCTACTTCCTGTGTGTGGTTCTTTTTCTGGTTTTTATCCTCCTCGTGGCTCCCGTGTTTCCACTTCCTGTTTTATTTTGGTAACTGCTCTTGTGCTTCCTGTTTTTATTGCTGGTAGGTTTCCCGCCGCGTCCTCACCTGTGTGGTTACAGTTGATGTATGTGTCCTGTCAGCACACAGGTGGACAGTCAGAGGACGTACCTGTCAGGTGTTCTCAGCTGATGGAAACACTGCACCAAGCTGAGACGAGACAGGAAGCACCAAATCAAAGCTTTGTTCTGTTCTCTGAGCTGAAACCTTCAACCTGAAGCAACATTAAATATTATTTATAAACGTTTCTCTGAGGTGTGTTTGCAGGTTTTCTGAGGATCAGGCTGAACACAGGCAGAATGAAAGCACATTAACCACCTGCAGCTCTGACTGTGGTCACATGATCGCAGTCAGCTGTTTGTCAGGACAGCCTCCTGGGCTCAGGCTGCCAAAGCTCCGTGTCAGAGCTCAGATGGTCTCAGGCTGGTTTCCTGAACACAACGATGAGTTCACTGCACTCAGACTCCACAGTCACAGACTTGTGATCGTGCTCTGCTCGACGGGGTTTACAGGCAGCAGCTGCAGTCCCCCTGATGTCCAGCAGAGGCAGCAGTGAGTCAGCCGCAGAGACTCCGTGTTTAAATAATCATGTTCCCAGATTTGGATGCTGCTGTTTCCCAGATGGCGAGTGGAGCCACGATTGAATTTTACAGATATTTCTGGAGTGACATTAAAGATTTGTTATTAGAGGTATTCAATGAATGTGTTAATGATCAGATGCTCTCTCCAACTGTGAAACGAGGAATCATTTCTTTACTTCCTAAACCAAACAAGGACTCGGTCCTTTTAGATAACTGGAGACGTATCACACTTCTTTGCTGTGATTATGAATTGTTAGCTCATCTCTATGCCAACAGATTAAAAACAGGAATAACTCAAATAATAGATGAGACACAGTCAGCCTTTATAAAAATATTCCTCATGATAGCCTTATTTTATTTCCTGGTTTCTTTAAAGCTTTTGATTCTTTGGGGCATAATTTGTTATTTAAAGCTCTGGAGGCTGTGGGTTTGGGTCCCAGATCTGTTAGTGTAGGGAAAATGTTGTACAGAGATATAACAAGTAGAACTGCTCTCAATCAAGGGTTTTCTAATAGTTTTAAAATTAATCGTGGCATTCAGCAGGGATGCCCTATTAGCCCGTTATTGTTTGTTGTTGCAGCAGAAATGCCATTTATATCAAACTCTCTCCAGATCTGGAAGGAATAAACATTCTTGATAAATAATTTAAAATTAGTCAATGTGCTGACGACACTGCCTTATTTCTAAGGAATGTAAATATGGTCTCTATTGCAATTAATAAAATCCTTTCAGTTTCAAAGCATCCGTCTTAACACTAAACCTTAAAAAATGTGAAATCTTAGCTGCACAGCTGTAATCAAAGTACTGCTAACAATATTCCAGTAAAAGAGGAGGTAAAATACCTTGGTTTAATAATCAGTAAGGATATTAATGATGGAGAGATTAATAACATAACTTCTAGATTAAATGTAGTTTAAAAAAAATTTAATCACTGGCTAACACGTGATTTGTCCATATTAGGTCGTATCTTACTGTCTAAAGCAGGACTTTCAAGACTCATATATCCCTGTTATTCAATTTTTACATCTCCCAAAATGATCAAACTGTCCAATTCTATTTTATTCAGCTTTATCTGGAAGAATAAAACACATTATATACACAAATCACAGTTAAAGACTATGAAAGCTTTAGACTTTGAGTCCATTATTGCTGCGTTCAGGCTCAGATGGATGAACGACTGCATTTCCCTCAGTCTATGTGGTGCCATAATCCAAACAAACTCTTTAATAAGCTCGAGGGTAGATTTTCTGCTCAGATGTGATTTTGAAATATCTGAGATTCCTCTTAAATTGTCTAGTTTCTATAAGCAAGCTTTGAATGTTAGGAAACTAATTTTCACCCACAATCCTGTGCTGTGGAATAGCAGGGTCATAGTCATCAATAAGAGTCCTTATTTAAATCAGACTGGTATGATAACAGTGTGTGTTTGTTTTTGATCTGCTTGATAAAAACAGAAACTTGCTATCTTACGAAGAATTTATTGATAAGTGTAAAATAGACGTTTCATTTAATAATTATAAGGTTTGTAAAGCGATACCCACACCACCGTAAACACTTTTTTTTTTTTGCCTGTCCCGTTTGGCTCTTTTGCCATCAGAATTGTTGTCTAAAGGCAAAGAAAGATGCCCAACGGATTTACTTTACCAAATTGACCATCCCAGCCTTGCCGTAATGGTCCATTTGATTCACCTTTTATTGTTTATTTTATTTTCACTTACTGAATACGGGACAGACTTGACTGGGGGAAAGAAGGGGAGAAAGAAAGAGGGAAAGAGAAACAGCTGAGAAGAGGGACGGGGGAGAAGGGCAAAAGACAAAAACCAACAGAACGGGCAGAGAAAAAAAAATGCATATATCAATCACCTGGATCACCTGCTGAGAAAGAAAAAAGAAAACAAGCAGAAGAGAACAAGAGTAATAGAATAAACAACATCACAATGATATATGGGAATATGACAGTAAATACTAAATATTAAACATTATTGTGCAGCACATAAGATCAACAGAACACAGTGTGCTTTGAGGTAGGAGCCAAAAAGGGTGTAGTTTGTGGGTGTGATCACCCGTGTGTACACCTGTGAGCATGGACGCGCTTGTTTTTTGTTTTTAAAAGGTTCCTTCATGTAATGATCTGCTAGAGGGTGTGGGGGGGCCACAGCCCCGTCCTCCAGGGCATGAAGCAGGTATGGAGGAGATCAAAACTCCAGACATCCAGAGGCCCCCAGAACACAAGAGACCAAGGAAGACCAACAGAGGGGCAGCCGCGCCACTGTCCCAGAAAGAGCTGAGGAGAGTCCCAGATGAGGGCTCACTCAGCAGCCGCGGAGCAGAAGCCAGGGGGAGTTGCAGTGACGCGCCCGTGAGCTCCGCCGGCAGCCAGCTGTGCCTGAGTGACCGAGCCCCAGGCCGAGAGGCCGGGGGCACCCCACCTCCGAAGTGGCCCGAGCGAGCCCCACACTCCAGACCGCAGTCGGACGGCCAACTCCTCCTCCTAGCCCCCCCACTCCAGCAGGTCGCAGAGAATGGGGGTGAGAGAAGACTCCAAACCTCCCTCCACCCGCTCATTGTAGTGTTGATGCATGTGTGTTCTAAGGTGCATTTAAAACCCAGGAGGGCATGGAGCTACCTGCCAGAGAGCAGCAGGTAAGCGCATGGTCCCTCCTGCTAGCCCTCAATGTCTACGTGTATTTAAAATTGAGAGGTGGGCAACGATGCCAGGGGTGGGGTGTACACCCTGATGGTACTTTGGACTCCGTGTATCGTGCCCCCCCCCAAGATCCTATATGTATGTGTAATGAGAGTGTGAGTAATGTGAATGTCTAAGTTGTGGGATAAAATTGAGGCAGAGGCAGCCAGAAGGGGACAGAGGGGGGGGTAGCCTCCTCTGCACCCTGGTGACATACCCCTACTCCAAGGCCCTGCATGTGTGGGTGGTTGTGGTGGAGCGGGAAGAGGGAGGCAGCTGGAGATGGGGAGGGAAGGAAGGGAGGGGCACCATCGTAAACACTTTAAAGTATTCACTAACAAGAACAAGCTCACCTTCACTGACAATGACACCTCAATAAAGGACAAACTATTTAATAATAAGTTAATCTCTAATACCTGTAAGCAAACAGTATTCTGTAACTATAATGTCAATGTCAGACATCACCTCGATAACACGTTGAAAGAAAAGTCATTTTCTTACCTAAAATAGCCACCTGTGCCTAAAATGAAAGAAACACTTCAGAATCATATCTGACGTTTATCCAGTTGGAGAGCTCCTGTATAAAAGGTTTAAGTTCGAGTCCGACTCTTTTCTGTTCTTCTGATCCAGAAACATTGGAGCATTTTTCACTTGTCAGTACGTTGATGCTTTTTGGTTTGAAATGCTCTGTTGGGTTTCACTCAGAACTTCCAATACACCTGCCTTCACATCTAAGGATGTTCTTTACTTTATGGACAACCTGGAATCTGAAATCTCTGATGTTGTCAGTTTTGTAATAGTGCTGTGTATTTTATTCATTCATGTAAGTGGAAGATGCCTCTCCTCTGTTTACCGTCTTCTTCAATTACTTTTGTCAGTATTTTAAGTCACTTAAGCTTATTTCAAATATGAATTAAAAAAAACTTCTGTACTATGCTGTAAAACCACAAAGTACTTGTTATTCTAATGTTCCTGCCTCTGTCAAAAGGTCTATGTTCCTTATTATTAAGCCCCAGATACTTTATTTTCTCCCTTTGAAGTTAATGACTTGCTTCACCATCTTTATAATGTAAATTGTTACAATTCTGGTCTGTTTGACTTGGATTTGAT